GTTATATGAGAAAGGAACAATATTCTATCTTACTATTGGTCTTTGAGTGTCTCAATTATACAACAGTTTAAATTGTAGGTTGAGCAGTACAGTGAGTAAATAAGTACCTGCATCAGGAACTGAAAAATGACTCTCCTGGTCAATGTTTCATCCAATTCATTTTCTTTGCTTTCTATTATCCCTAATTCCCTAGCTGGCAAGTTTCAGCCCCATGCCAGGAAACCACATTTAGGCACTGTGTTCAGAGCCAGAGCAAAACTGATGTGACAGAATATTCTAGAGTGAGTTACTTGAAAATAAATTGATGAAGACCTAGGGCCATTGTCTTGGAGCTGCCAGGAGTGTGGTGTCTAAAGTTGACCTTCTTGGTCAGTGAGTGTTGGGCTTATTCTGAGGGCTGGAAGCAAGGGGACTCTTGAAGAGCCTAGAAGTGGCAATGAGAAAGCAAGCTAGCCTCAACTACTACCTGGTCCTTTCTCCACTGGAATACTACCCTGGAGGTCCTGCATTGGTGTAGAGAAGGCCATGATGAGTGAGGAATTTAAAAAAGAAGAAGTTAGAGGGGCACCTGGGTGGCTCAGTTGGTTGAGTGTCTGACTCTTGATCTCGGCTCAGGTCATGATCTTAGGATCGTGAGATTGAGCCCCACATTGGGCTCCTCGCTCAGCAGGGAGTCTGCTTCAGTTTCTCTCATTCCCTCTACCTCTCCACCACCCACCCCCACCCCCCCGTCCCGCCGCTGGCATGCACACTCTCTCTTTCTCACATAAATAAGTAAATCTAAAAAAAAAAAAAAAAGGAAGAAGTTAGAAAGAGAGGAAACTGGTGTGCTGAATAAAGGAAAAGGAGGATTTGGGCAAGAACAGTGGGTTTTTTTAATTTTATTTATTTTTTTAGATTTTATTTATTTGGGAGAGAGAATGAGATAGAGAGAGCATGAGAGGGGGGAGGGTCAGAGGGAGAAGCAGACTCCCTGCTGAGCAGGGAGCCCGATGCGGGACTCGATCCTGAGACTCCAGGATCATGACCTGAGCCGAAGGCAGTTGCCCAACCAACTGAGCCACCCAGGTACCCAAGAACAGTGGTTTTTAAAGTTGGTCTGGAAATACCATACTTGAATAAGTCAGTCTGTGTCCTCAATAAGCTTTGGATCTTGATTTCTAACTCTTCTGCCTTCCTGAATCCATATGCTAGCCCCAACTGGTTCTCTCAAGCCACATGTCATCTCTACAAAGCCCTCCTATGTCTTTATCTTGCAAAAATGGCATGGATATTCTCCTTAGTAGAGTTACATGATGTTAATGGGGCGGGGGGGACATTTAGTAAGAGCACTTATAAGTCGGGAAGTTGCAAAGTGCACATGGCTTTCTGAGCCCTCATGACCCCCCCCCCACACCCCCTGAGAAGGGTACTTGGGCTGGGTATGATTGCCACGGCCAAATGCAGAAAGGGCTCCAAGACAGGGCCCCTTCCTATAGGGTTATGCCATTGGAGTTTCCTGGTGGGACAAGTGGCCTTGTTGGGAAGGCTGGGCATCTAGCATCAGCCTGTCCTTGCATTGAGCTAACTCAGACTAGTTGAGCTGGGTCTCTGCTAAACTACTGAGAGAAGGTAGGAAATGCATATTTTAGGCCATCTGGATTTGCTCTCTTTGGTTATGTGCAGGGCCCTCCAAGCGAGAAAGAAATGCATTTTCCAATATTCCAACATGAGCCTCAAAGAGCCATTTAATGGCCCCCTCAATGCCTTCTTGGCTTAGAGATTTTTGTGTACTCAGCCCCAGGGTCTTTCCAAACCTTTGCCACTTTGATTCTTCAGGTCAGCAAGTCACTATCAATTGAGTATCTAATCAATTGGCTTGCGTTGACTTCTGGAGACATCACATATTCTGTCTTTATTTCTATATGTTGCATTCTTTTCATCATCTGTTTATTGACTGCTGTTAAAGGATAATTTATATAAGAAGATCTAATCATAACTCTCATCTAACTATAAAAATGAACCCATGTCAAAGTTTTTATTTAACTCATTAATTAGCAAGAGGACTAGTAAGATGTTACAAGTAGTTCATATGAGGATTTGATTTACAGAGATTTATATTCTGTACTGAACAAAAAGAATAGTTTGCATAGCTATGGACAGAAAAGATATATTACTATCAGCTTTCTACATGTTGATGTCTACTTGTACAGAGTTGTAAAATAGCCTGGTCAAAGACAATGAAAGGCCACATCCCTAGAGGATGAGATAATCCCTGGAGGGTCCACTGGACAAGGCTTAGCATTCTATTGCAAGGACACCCAATAATCTCTTTTGTCCATTTCAGTATCTGACAGTTTCTCCTGGCAGACTTCCCTCCCCCTTGTGATCATACATAATTTAAAGATTATTCTTGGTCATCAAAAAAAGCTGGTCTCATTAGGTTTGGCTGACTACTTAGATAGGTGCATCAAAATTATTGATTGATCAGAGAGGCTTCCTTTCAGCCTGCTTTGAGAAATCTAGAGTCATACAGTAAGTATTGAATGGTCCCAAATTAACTTCTGTCTGTAAGTGTTCATAAGGAATCTTAGACTAGACTTTGAAAAGCACATCTTATGTGTTGTCCCAAGCTACTCACCCGACTTTAGCTGCAGTACCTTTACATCTGGGCAAATTCCTCTCTTCTTGAGGTTTCAAAAAAATATCCCAAAGGCTTGCCTTTGAAGTGACCTTCCTTATTACCTATCAGGCTGGACCTTATAAACTCATTCAGGTCAATTTTCCCGGGAGGACTTACTCCATAATTATAGCCAAACTTTGTACTTTATTCTTTTAAAAAAAATTTTAATGATCTTATTTTTAAGTAATCTCTACACCCAACGTGGGGCTCATATTTACAAACCCTAGATCGAGAGTTGCTTGCTCTATCTCCTGAGCCAGCCAGGGACCCCCAAACTTTGTTCTTTAAAAGGGCTTGTCACATCTATTCAACTGAGCATCATTCTCAACTATAATATTCCAGGCACTGCATTGATCACCTAATGGAGTCTTCCAATTATGTCTTGGCAAAAAGGAGGACAGATTCTTACTGAACATATGTAAGCAATTATATTGAAAAGTAAAGAGACTAAGTAAGTTTCTGAATTCTGAGGAGGGTAATTAATTATGTCATTGAAAACCATAGATCATTTTTAAATGTTTCATTTTAGTTTACAACAGTAGAATTTACAAAATTATTGTGAATTACATATAGCATAAGAAGAAAAAGGAGGGGCACCTGGGTGTCTCAGATGGTTAAGCGTCTGCCTTCGGCTCAGGTCATGATCCCAGGTTCCTGGGATCGAGCCCAGCATCGGGCTCCCTGCTCTGCGGGAAGCCTGCTTCTCCCTCTCCCACTCCCCTTGCTTGTGTTCCCTCTCTCGCTGTGTATCTCTCTGTCAAATAAATAAATAAAATCTTTAAAACAAAACAAAAACAACAACTATGACCTTTAAAAAAAAAGAAGAAAAAGGAAAAGCTTCCTTACACATCCAATAAATAGGACATTAAAACAAGTCAACAGTATTCCAAAGAACCTCAATAAAATTTCCTGCACCAATTTGTTCAATCTTATGTAATTAATTCTCATTCTGATGGATGTTGGGTTAGCAGTTTCATGAAACTGCTTTTCAACTATAAAGAGTCCTGGAAATCCTGACTAAGTTCCACTGATAGGCTCTGAAAGTTATAAAGTTCTCTAAGCCATGTCTGCTGAGATTTGAAGAGTCAGTGGTTTGAAAGACCTTGTACTATCTTCTTCCACAAGGTTCTGGGAGTGCCCTTCTTGGTTGAAGACACAAACTCTGGCCTATAGATTATAGCAGTCTTTGAATAAGCATCAAAGAAAAAGATAAACTATCTACAGTGTTTAAAAAATTCAACCGAGTAAATTCTGAAGATCTCACTGGCTTAATTCAATGATTCACCAGTCAGACAACATCTAATCTAGCAGATAGAAAGGAGCTCTGAGGAGCTATATAAAATGAAAGATTTGTATAAGCAGAAGGGATGGGACAAGGAAGTTACACTAGACGAAAAAGTAGACTGGTTACTGCAAGGTTACTTTCCTTTAGGGGATGGCAGGGGTCTATCAGGTAGATTACTAACTAATGCTAATTAGGTGACTTCTGATTGACTGGTTTAAGATTCCATTTCTGGGGGGGCTGAAACTACGTCTTGTTTTGGTGACATGGAGCTGAGCATAAGTGACTCCATTTTGGGCCCATTCTTTCAACAATAGATAGCACAGACTTAACGGCTATTGCTAATTTATTACTGATATTTTTTAAATGTGAAATGTCTGATAAATTTCATAATACAAATAATACAGCTGACAAGGAAATTTGGTTCATTCTGTTCAAAACAAAGACAAAAAATCCTCTTCCCCACTAGACCTCCCAATCTCAGCCATATAGTCAACCTGCCCAGGTGGGAAGCCCTGAGCTTCTGTGGATTCAGCATAGAAGGGAGTGGGGGCAGGGAGCTGTGCAAATCCAGCCCTCAGCTAAAGCAAATAATAATGGCTGGAAGCTTAAAATAGATCCAGGGAGGAGCTCATTAACTTGGCATGGGAAGCAGTTCAGTACCTCTGGCATTTCTCATTTTGGAAATTGCTTTGGTCCATTTTCCTTCTATTCATTGGACCAGAAAATACAGACCTTTACCAATACATTCACCACAGATGATGATGAACTAATTTAGACCAGCCGAAATAATTGTTCGACAGGAACACAGGACTTCAACCTCAGTTCAGAAAATCCCTGCCATCTGACGTAGGAGGATTTATAGGTTTAGTGGAAATTGCTTTCTCCTGCTCTCCAGATTACATACTGTGGGTTGATTTTTTTTTTTTTTTTTTTTTTTTGGCATGAGTAAACATCCTTGGAATAAGGAACAGACCAATAATGTCTTAAGAGAGAAAAAGAACATCCTTTTCCTTTTTGATATTTCTTGAGAGAACCACTCACACTTGGAAACCCATGTTGGCTGTCCAGAATATGAAAGTTGGCGTCTTCCTTTTGTGGTGGGGATGGGTTTGGGCCACTGAAAGCAGAGTGCACTGGCGAGGAAGAGAAGTACAAGAGATGTCTAAGAAAGGCAGGTGAGTGGACTTCTGGGGATAAAGCTTAAGGTATTGCTCCAGAGGCATTTCCAGCATATCATGTTTTATGTGTATGCCTTTCCGCACCTTTTCCCTTTGTTCTCCTGCTCCCTCTCTTTTAGGAAGTTAGAATTACGTTGTTGTCTTTTAATGATGCTAGATCAGATACGGTGCTATCATTGTATATTCCTAAATCTCTTATGAATTGTCCTAGGCGAAAGATAGACTCTGGAAAAAAGTAAAAATTTTTATTTTTAACAAAGCACCTTGTTTTAAAAAATTAAGGGCAATTATTTGATGTCCGCATCCTAGGTTGGGACAAATCTGCAAATTCTCAAATAGCCAATGGGGTCTCTGATTAGTGAGAATGATTTTGTTAGTTCTAATTATTTCTGCTAGATTTGTGGGTCCCTTACAATGTCAATGAGGCAGCTTTCTTCAAGCCGTATGGCCGGACAGATCATTAGATTGTCCCCTCCTAGTAAGCGCAGGCCAGCTGCTTGCCCGTTGCCCACGGTGTGTGCCGCCCTGGCCGTGCCAGTGTCCGAGGTGGCAGCTGGGGCACAGGCGGACGGCCCCTCGGCACCTGGACTCACTCAGGCGGCTCTGAGCGCAGCACCGGTCATTAACTGATGGCAGTCACAGCCTCACTCCTACTTGCCCCACGTTCATCAGTGAAACAGAGGAAACCTGATCCAGCTCTCTCTCTCTACTGACGAGGAGAGACAGTAAGGGCATTCCTGACTCTCAGTTCTTTATCAGTGTTAAAGATCCAAATTAAGGTCCAAATTAAGCTTCAGGTCTCGTTATTTCTGGATGTAAATATGAACAGACGTCAGAAATATCCAGTAGCGCGAACGGAAATGCAGCTTTTTGCAGATCGGGGCTAGTGACAAGGCTGGGGGTCTGACTCTTCAGTGTCCCCCTCCTGGGTTTTGAGGGGCCTCCACACATGGGCTCCCAGACAGCCCAGTGACGGCTCACAGCACTCGTTCTAGGATGTTTTAACAACATCACAAAACCAGGAGCTGAGATATCTGGGGATCGTGGGAAGTCCTGGGCACGGAGAGAGACTGCTGTGTATGAACCACATGCCCTGGTTCTGTCAGAGTCAGAAGTTGCTTGGGCAAACAGGGGAATTTGTACAGCCATAGAGATTATCTGAACCAAATGTGCTCATGAGGATTAAAAGCAACCACAGCGACAAACCTTATTGGTTGTCATCAGAAACTTCTCAGCCTCTCCCCTAAACTGGAGTTGAATTGGCGACCTATTGGTGAATACCAATGATGAAGAGCAGTCCCAGAGAATGAAACAGATTTTCTTTAAAAACATCATTTGGGGCACTTGGGTGGGGCGGTCGGTTAAGCATCTGACTCTTGGTTTTGGCTCAGGTCGTGATCTCAGGGTCATGGGATCAGCCCGGGGGATCGATCTCCATGTTGGGCTCCACACTCAGAGAGGAGTCTGCTTAAAGATTCTCTCCCTCTCCCTCTGCCCCTCCCCCCAGCTCTCTCTCTCAAATAAATAAATAAGTAAATCTTAAAAAAATTAAATTAAAAAATTACTTAAAAGTACTTTCATTTTTTTATTATGAAAGTCATATACGACTATTATTTAACATTTTTAAAAATGGGAAAAATGTTTTAAAAACACTAAAAACATCGCCAAACCCAGAAATTTATGGGTGTTAACATTGTTGACATTGTTGTGTATTCTTCCACTCCTTTTTTTTCTAAGCACATACTGAGTATTAACTAGTTTGGGATTATTCTATACATATAGTTATATTTGTAGCTTTAATTTATTCAATATGATTTTGTCTGCATGTTTACTTATTTATAGTCTACATAATTATCATCTGAATGGCTGCATTATAATGCATAATAATGCATAATTTACCACCATTTAAGCAGCTTCCTCTGTATTATGGACATTTAGTTGCTTCCTTTGTTATAAATATTACACAAGAATATCTTTGTGCATGAGAATAGTTGTCTAGGTACAGGATTTTCTTTTTTTAAATAAGCTTTACGCCCAACGTGGGGCTTGAACTCACAACCCTGAGGTCAAGAGTCACATGCTCTACTAATGGAGCCATCCAGGCACCCCTACATATGTGATTTCTTAATTAGGATAGACTCCTGGAAGTGTACTGGGTCAAATGGCACAAGGACTTTAAAGCTCCATATATATTTTGCTAAATGGCTTTCCATAATGGTGGACCCAACTTATACTTCCACCAGCCAGGTTACGTTTTATTTTTATGTAGCCTACATTTTTAAAGGGCTCACTTAATTTCATCCAGATCCTCAACTCATAAACTGCGGGTAATTTGCATCCAGGCTTCTCTTCATAGTTTCTACTAATGAAATGCAAAGCAAGGTGAACACATGCACATGACAGGGTGAGGAAAGTGAGGTACCTACGGTGCAGAATCTAAGGAGGCACTTGCCTCCTTAGGTTTGGTTCCCCACTTGCCTCACTCCAGTCTCCACCCCGGCAAATAACTCAAGTATTGTTTCCCAAGATCTCCATAGGAGGCACATCCAAATTCTCCTCACAAATCATGCTACTGGTAAATATCAGCATGCCAGGGCATTGGGCAATGTTTCTAGAATGGATCAGTAGTTATTGTCTCTCCCTCCTCCCTGGAAGAATGGAGGCATAACCTGTCTACACCACAGGCCTGGGGACAAAGCCCCGCTCCAGCTCTGGGAGGGCAAACTGATCTACCAGAAGCCCAAGTACTGTTCTCATACTTGCTTTGGCATGCTAGAGAATTCCAGTTTATTCTGAAGGTAAAGTGGGTCTGAATAGCTTCAGCTGATTTCTATTTTGGAGGGATCACACTGGTGGCAGTAGGGTAGAAGGGTGGGACGGTGCTAGAGGGGAGACAGGGAAAGTCATCCGGATCTATGCCTTATCCCAGGTGAGAGGCAGTGAAAGCCGGAGGTAGGATATCAGTGGAAAGAATAGGGCTGGGGGAGATGGATCTAAGAGCTTTAAGAAGATAGAATTGGCAGAATTCGATCGGGTGGAAGCCTAGCAGGCATTTGGATTGTGTGACCTCGTAGAAGGTGGTGCCAGGGAAGGCACAGCCGGATGAGGAGCAGATTTGGGGGGAAAGAAGCATTCATTATGAACACGTGGACCAGGATGTGCTTTCACGAGATGCTAAGAGATAGCTGTCCAGTCAGAGGCTTATAGGTGTGCAGCTCAGGAGGGAAATCGGGCTTGGAGATGTGGATTTAATCGGAGTCCTCATAAGTGGTGGTGGATGAGGTGGCCCAAAGACGGCCTGTCCACGTGAAAGAAGAACAGGATCAAGGACAGAACCTTAGGGAAGAGCAACATTTGAGGAGAGGATGGAAGAAGAAGCCTTCCTTGGTGAAGGACGCTGGAAAAGAAGGACCAGAGAAATAGGTGTATGACTGGAATAGAGAGGTGTCAAAGATGCCAAGAGAGTCATTTATTCGAAAGTTGTCAAACGCTTGTTAGAGGGCCGGCACCACACCGGCAGTGGGTACTTCATCAATGACTAAATCAAATACAGGTCGTGCTCTCAAGAGGCTTACAGACCAGAGAGGCATTCCAGCAAAGTGTCAAGGGTTTCCAGAGGGAGGGGGTGAATAATAGGGTCAGATTACACAAAGACACAGGGGCTAAGAGCCACTGAGGACCTCAGAGAAGAGAAGAGTGGCAGTGGGTTGAAGAGCGGGGAGGAGATGGGGTGAGTATAGGTAAGTCATACGAGAAACTCAGCTGTGAACGGAAAGGCAGTGACCGGGGAGGGTGAGAGAGAGCTGGGCAAGAGCTCTCAGGCCGGCAGAGACCCAGCGGTTCACAGGTTAAAGGGGGAAGGCGGGAGAAAGGCAGTGATGATGATGATGATGATGCGTGAGACACTTGCTGTCAAACCCCTGTCCTGACAAAGCACAAACCGTTGGATTGTGGACTGGGTCTCCGGCTGCCCTAAGGGTCTTGGAAGCTGATTCTCTCCTAAGTGAGTAAGTCATGTTCTCGCCTCATCTTGTCCTTCATTCTCCAGATGGTTTGCTTGAACTTTTGACCCTCTTCTTTGGGCTGCTGGTTCTTGTCCAGTTATGACCTGCCGCTCAACCTGACGGTTTCCCGAGGCCTGCACTTGGGCTGCTCCCCATGCTCCTGACACCCTTCCCTTTCCTCTTTCTCCTGCTCCTTTTTTTTTTTTTGCTGCTCCAGTGCTTGCCAGAGACATCACCTTCTCTGAGGAGCCTTCCTTGGCCCCCCCGCCACCCCTGCCTCTCAGTCTCAACTGGGCAACTTACTTCTGAGGTTCCACAGCCCCAATCCATCCCATCTCAGAGGACCAATCTCTCAGCATTAGCGCTCACTCCTCACCTGCCGCAGCTTCTAGACTATGAGCTCCTTGAGGGCTGTTATTAGTCTGTTTGGGATGCCATAACAAATCACCACTGACTGGGTGGCTTAAGCAACAGACAGTGATTCTCTCACAGGTCTGCAGGCTAGAAGTCCACGATCAAGGTGCTGGCAAATTTGGTTTCTGGTGAAGTCTCTCTTCCTGACTTGTAGACAGCCCCCTTCTTGCTGTGCCCTCACATGGCCTTTCCTAGGTGCTTGCCGAGAGGGATGGAGGGGGCATCTCTGGTGTCTCTTCCTCTTCTTGTAAGGACACCAGTCTTATTGGATCAGAGCCCCATTCTTAGGATCTCATTTAACCTTAATTACCTCCTTAACAACTGATCACCAAAAACAGTCACACTGGGAGTTAGGGCTTTAACATATGAATCAGGGGGGCACAGTCCAGTCCATAACAGGGGCTCAACTTGTACCTTTGTCTTTGTCACCCCAAGTTCAAGTACAATATCTGATACATGGCAGATACTCAAGAAATGTTAAGCATAAATAAATGAGTGAGTCCTAACTGTTGCTATTCCTGTACTTCATTCATCCAACAAATATGGCTTCACGACATGATTTTCCAGGCGCTGCGCCCA